AGGGGGGGGGTAGGGTTACTTGACCAGTGACCACTATCTTGACCTGCGGCATGGCTAAAGCCTGTATTATGGTTTTGAAAAGTTGGCAGTTTTACGTGTGTGCCTGTGGGTGGTTGGCTGATGCTCTGGTGTGGTTTGCTTTTTCTGTCCTATAAAACATCTATCGTTCTTATCTCCCCTTCTTCTTTTTTTTTATGTTTGTTACTATTGCGTAACACCTCTAATCTTCTGGCGCTGATATGACCTTATGCAGCTGCGAGCGCCGTAAAACCTCTACTAAAACTAAACGGTGTGCCTGTATATTATATTATATAATATGCCCCATCCCCCCTCCCCCCTCCCCAATCCTGCGGCTGTGAATCTATACTTAATGCAGTCTTTACATTAAGTGGAACAGTAAACCAATGGCTTAGTTCTGGAGAATTCTATGACGAAACAAAGCGATCAAAATGTAGAATTAATTGTGTACATTCTAATTATGTTGAAATTCTTTTTTAAACGTGGGTGGTTGGCCTGTGCTCTGGTGCGGTTTGCTCCTTCTTTCCTATCAAACATCTGTCGTCCTTATCTCGCCTCCTTCTATTTTGTGTTTGTTACTCTCTTGTAACACCTCTAATCTTCGGCACTTATATGACCTTATTGTGTTTCAAGTGCCGTAAAACTCTTCCTAAAACTAGAACCAGATACTGCGGCTCTTCGTCATGCTGGTAAAGATATGGAGTTGTATTCTTGTTCGAAAATGTAGGTATGAAAAGTGTTTTGTTTTCTTCTAAAAAATGATGGTTATGTTCTCCTTCTTTTACCCTTACCTTATCTCGTCTCATCTCATCTTATCTCTTTTCTTGTCATAATAATAACGTCTTCTCATTTTATCTTAGTTTATCGTACCCCGCCCGACCTCAGTTCACCCCACTCCACCTCACCTCACCCCCTCTCTCTCATCTTACCCCATCTCATCTCATCTCATCTCAGCCCACCTTACCCTCACCTCATCCCATCTGACATCACCCCATCTCCTTTCACCTCACCCCATCTCACCCCCCCATCTCACCCCCATCTCACCTCACCCCACCCCCCATTTCATTCCCATCCCACCTCACCCTACCCCATCTCACCCCCATATCACCCCCGTCTCACCCCTCACCTCCCCCTTATCACCCTCATCTCACCCTCACCTCACCCCATCTCACCCCCCTACTCACCTCACCCTACCCCATCTCACCCCCATCTCACCCCTCATCTCACCCTGATCTCACCCCCAGGTGCTGAGCGCGGAGGAGGCAGGCCTGGTAGAGAGGGGCCAGCACCCGGCCAGTGTGAGCCACCAGGACACCATAGACGAGAGCAACATGCCGGAGCTCATACAGGGGACCTCGTGTATCATTACACAGGACCACGTCAACCAGGTGAGGAGAGGGGGAGGGGAGGGAGAGGAGGGGAGGGAGGGGAGGGAGTGACCAGGACACCATAGACGAGAGCAACATGCCGGAGCTCATACAGGGGACCTCGTGTATCATTACACAGGACCACATCAACCAGGTGGGGAGGGAGAGGGCGATTGACGGGTGCTCTGGTGTGGTTTGCTTCTTTTTTCCTATCAAACATCTACCGTCCTTATCTTTCCTCTTTCTTTTTTGTGTTTGTTACTCTCTTGTAACACCTTTAATCTTCGGCACTTATATGGCCTTATTGTGTTGCAAGTGCCGTAAAATATTTACTAAAACTTAAAAAAGAGGAAAGGGGAGCGGGGAGGGAGAAGAAAGAGGGGAGAGGGGAGGGAGAAGGAAGAGGGGAGAGGAGGGAGCCAGTAGTTTTTGCTTTTACATTTGCTTCAGTTTCACCTTTTCGATCGATGACACTTCCAATGTAGATAAAGGAGTCCACTTCTTCCAGGGGAGTGTCTTCCACTGTCACAGCAAGGTTTGAAACTTTTCCTAGCTTCACTACTTTTGACTTGCCTGGATGTATACGTAGGCCAACACTCCTTGATAGGCTGTTGAGTTCCTTGGTCTTTTCTTGCATCTGAGCATGTGTGTGAGAGAGCAGTGCAAGGTCATCGGCGAAGTCCAAGCCGTCCAGCTGCTGCCAAGGGATCCATTTTATTCCATTACGCTTGCCTCTGGTGGCTTTCTTCATGTTTCTAGTGTTTTATATAAATTTATGAAGAAAAGTTTTAAAATCTAACTTCAATTGTTGTGGAAAAATATGATTACGTTAAGACAAATTGAGACAAACTGCTGTGCCAAGTATGGGTCACATTGATTCACTCGTGATAAAGACATTTGAGGATCAGTTACACCACGAATTTTTGACCTCACTATAAAACTAATTCTGTCAACAGGGGACATGTCGTGGCGTCGGTGGCCTAGTGGTTAGGCTACCGGACTCGTAATCATGAGGTTGCGGGGTCGGGGGTTCAAGCTGCGGGCCCGACGTTGTGTCCTTGGGAAAGGCACTTTACATGAATTTTCCTCACTTCACCCAGGTGGGAATGGGTACCCAGCCATAGACAACGAAAGATCTTGTCAGTATATTAGTGTTTTAGCGCCTATAAATGGCTGCTTGCACTGTATGCTTCCCAGGAAGTTGAGGTTGTTTCAGAATGCTCTCAGGTCTGCTGGGGTAATAGTATAGATTGTGAAGCGCATAGAGCTTGCTGTTGAGTGGGGATTTGCACTATGAATATGCTATCTATTATTATTATTAACAATGGAATAGAATTTGATTCCTTTATTTCCCCCC